CACCTGCCAGCATTTCATGATCATCCCCTGCGATTGGCAGCCCTCTGACTTGCATTCGCCCCGCCCCCGACGGGCGGTTCAACACCCGAAGCTTTCCAGCGAGGCAGGCGTCTTCCTGAGTGGCGTCATCGAGTACCTGGCGATGGACATCATCAAGCTCGCCGGGTATTACACGCTCAATGACCGGCGGCGCTCGATCACCGACTCCGACATTCATGAGACTGTGCGTCCTTCCCTGGCCTTCCCTCGCCCGCCCTCTTCCTCGCCTCGCTCCCCTGTCTGCACTGGCATATGCCCCCATGTGCCCGTGAGCACAGTACATGTGCATGCCTGTGGTCCAAACTGACCCCCCCCCCCCCCCCTGCGTGCCAGGTGTTCATTGATCCCGATCTTCGTGCGCTGCTCCGCCGGGCCAATGGAGCCTTCTACTTCCGAAACTGCGTCTCCACTCTGAGTCGCTGTCATTCGGACCTGGTCCTCCTGCAGAAGTACTTCGGTGAAACGCTGCGTGTGCTGAAAAGTGACATCGACTCGCTGCCGGCCTTCTTCCGTGGATCGATCGAGCCGCTGATGATCGCCGTTGAGGAGATCATCCGGCAGATCCGCGACATGCGCCCGGGCGCCGATGCCCTGCCCTGTGCGTCTCTGCTTCCCCCTCTCGCCGCTTCTCTCCCTCTCCCTCTCTCTTCCCACCCTTGCGTCCTGGTTGCTGACCGCCACCCGCCTGCCCACGCCAGTCCTTTGCAAGGCCATTGATTTGCTGGTGTCCATCTCTCCACAGATCTTGGACTACGCCCAGAAGGCCATGAACCTCTACACGCGCTTGCCCATCTGGCTCGAGCAGCCCTCGGTCAAGCACCTGTTCAGTGTGCGTCGTGAAAAAGGGGCCCATCCTCCCCGACCACCGCCGCCACATTGTCTAACCCCGTCCTGTTCCCGTGCCCTGTGCAGGAGCGCAAGATGCTTTCCTCGGCTTACCACCACCTGGGATGGCTGCTGCTGATTCCTCTCCGCTCGACCATCTACTGCCACTCCATGCTCGAGCGGCTTTTCTTCAACTTCTTCCGCTCCGAGACCCCCTTCATCGACCATTTGGAGAAGGTACACCATCTCCCCCGCCCTCCAGAGGGGCCCTTCTCTCTCCCCTCCTCTCTCTCTCTCTCTGCCCTGTGACAGCCCGCTGACCAGCTGCTCCTTCTCTCCCAGGCACGCGATGCGTCGCAAGCTGTACTGCGCATGAGTGATGCATTTGGCATCCCGCTGGTGCCCGGGTCCGATCGTCCGTACGCCGGGTCCTACTCGTCGCTGATTTCCTCGAACTCGGCAGCGGTGGCCTCCGGCTCGGTCGAGGCCGCCTCCTCGCCGTTCTGGCTGCTGGCCGAATCGGCCTTCGCGGCCGATGATCCGCGCTATGCTTACTGGCTGGTGCGTGGCCAGCATGGTGGGGCCTGTGCTGCAGGGCCGCACCCAGGCTCCCTTTGCCTCCCCTCGCCATCTCATCAACTCCCCCTGCCCCCGGGGTGTCCCCTGGTCCTCGGTTGCTCCCCACTCACCCACGGCACTTCCCCTCGCCTCGTCCCCCCCCCCCCCCGCCTCCCAGATCACCACTTCTCGGGATTACATCCGGCGCGTTGCCGGCTGGCCGAGCACGGGCGCCACCCCGGCCAGTCGGCTCCATGGGGCCCTGGCAGCTGGCATCCCGCGCATCCTCTTCGACTGTGTCCTCTCCACGTATGAGCTTTATCCCCTGTCTCCCAGCGGCCCGGCCAGTACCGCGGCCAATGCCCTGCCGGCCTCCCTGCAGGGCGCACATTTGGCTTTGGCCGGGGCCGGGGCCGGTCTGGAGGCCGGGATGGCCGGCGTCGAGACGCCCGTTCGAAGCAGCGATCCCCTGGTGGAGGGGGTGCTGGCCGGGTTCCAGGCCCTTCGTGGGGGTAGTGGCGGCGGCTTGACCGACCCACTACCGCCAGGGTTCCTGGACTTCCCGGCTCCGGAGGACCCATCCCAGCAGCCAGCCCTGCAGGCCGAGCTGGTCCAGGCGCAGGGTCCCCCCCATGAGTACATGACCGATGTGCTTTGTCAAATCCCGGCATATGACCCGGCGCAGCTCCCCGGGTACAACGCCGCGCCGGCCCCCTCGACGCGGAGATCGCGCAAGTGCAAGGACCGTCTTCTTGTGGTGCTGGATCGTCACATCATCATCTCCAAGCAGTTGCTTGTGCCGCCGTCTGCCGGGGGCACCTGGGCGCCGCTGGCTCTGGGCGGCGGTGGCGGGCCCCACACGGGAACCGTGGCCGCACCGCGCGACATCGCCGGCGCCCTGTACATGATCTTCAATTTGATGTCGGTGTCCATTCGCGAGGGCGGCGCGGTGGACGACCACCGGTCCTGTGCGTTCCCTCCGTCAACCACCCTCCCCCCTCCTGTCCGCCGAGAGTATGCTCCCGCTGACGTATCCTGCCTGCCTCTCGTCTCTCTCTTTCTCTCTCCCCCTCCTCGCTCTCTCCCTCTCCTTGCTCTCCCCCTCTCCTTGCTCTCTCCCCCTCTCCTCGCTCTCTCCCCCTCTCCTCGCTCTCTCTCCCTCTCTCTCCTCGCTCTTTGCCTTTCTCCGCGGCAAACCCACCCTCCACAGATATTGAGCTCATCCACAATGAGCCACCGTACGGCGGATTCCTCCTGTGTCTGCGTGATGCCGAGACCCATCGGTCGGTGTACGCGGGGCTGCTGCGCGCCCAAACGGCATACCACCTGGCAGTGGCCCGGTCCCGGCTTCGGGCACACCGCTCCCTGACCACGCATCTGTTCCTGCTGCCGAGCATGCGCCTTAGCATGGACGCCTACAAGTTCGCCATCCCGGACACCAGCGACAATATCATCTTTGAAGTTCTCCTGCCGAATGACAATGCCGCCTTGACGGCTGCCGCGGCCATGATCGATCTCAGTTCCGAGGAGTCGTGGTCCGGCGCAGCGGTCCAAGACTCGCCGCAGATTCGAGTGCGCCATGCTCCATTTGCCCTGCCCGCACATGTGCATGCACATGCACATGTGCCACTTGCCCTCGATCCATACTAGTCCTCCCCGTGTCCCACTCGCGCTCCAGGCGGCATCGGTGGCCAAGTTGGTCGAGCACCTGACCCACGAGCGCTACAACAACCCCCACTTCATCGGCGAGTTCCTCCTCACATACCGGTCCTTCACCGAGCCAGGCACCCTGCTTCGCTTGCTCACCGAGCGCTACTACATGCCCGAGCCCACCTCGCCCGACCTGACTCCGGAGGACCTGGCCTACTTCCGGTGCGCCGAGGCCGCATGGCTGCCTCCTCGCTCGCTCTTTCGCCCTCGCTCCTCCCTCCATGCTGCTCCGCCTTTCGGCCATCCCAATTGACATGCCCCCCCCCCCCCTGCCCCCCGATTGTGCTGATGGCCCGCCTTGACAAAGGTCCCGCATCAAGCAACCGGTCCAGCGCCGCGTGAAGAATGTCATCAAGAACTGGGTGGACAAGTACTACTCGTATGACTTCATGTTTGCTCCGGAGCTGACCGAGCAACTCCTGCTGTTTGTGGCTGACATCGCCAAGGCCGAGGGTGCCGAGCGGGAAATGCGGCACATGACGGCCGGTGCCAACTCGGCCGTCGACTCCACCGGGGCTTTGCTGTCCCCCTCGCCAACCGGGTCGCTTCCCCTGGCGCAGGTGTCGACGACCAGCTCCGGCGAGGTGCCGCGCACCTTCTTCGAGACCATCTCGTCCTTGATCGAGCGCCGGCGCCTGGAATTCGAAGCCACCTCGCCAGTGGCCGACCCCAGCGAACTGACTGCCCTCAGCCTGCTGGCCGGGATGTGGCGCTCGCCGGTGGCCGTCACCAATCTCCTGCTGGCACGCGATCCCCACGAGGTGGCTCTTGCCCTGACCCTCTACGACTCGCGGCTTTTCTGCCGGATCCGGTCTCTGGAGTGCCAAAACCAGGGCTGGGTCAAGCGTCGCCCGGCCGAGGGCGGCAGCTTCGCCTCGGCCCCAGCGGATGAGTGCGCTCCAGATGCCGCGTCGCCCGCCGCCGCCGCCGCCGCCACCACCACCACCACCACCGCTGCTGCTGCTGCTGCGGCTGCCCCC